GGAGTTTCACTCATGTTACCCAGGCTGGAGTGCAATGGCGCGATCTCGGCTCACCGCAACCTCCGCCTCCTGGGTTCAGGCAATTCTCCTGCCTCAGCCTCCTGAGTAGCTGGGATTACAGGCACGCACCACCATGCCCAGCTAATTTTTTGTATTTTTAGTAGAGACGGGGTTTCACCATGTTTACCAGGATGGTCTCGATCTCTTGACCTCGTGATCCACCCGCCTCGGCCTCCCAAAGTGCTGGGATTACAGGCTTGAGCCACCGCGCCCAGCCTTTAAAAGCAATCTTTTAAAATATTTGTTAATCTCAAAGATTTTAGGAGTGTTTTAAATCATTTTTTAACATATTTGATAACTTTGTTGCCCTATGTGAAAAAAATTTTTTAGATAATTGTACATTTACCTGCACTCACAAGAAATAACACAGAGATTTTATGTACACTTTATCCAGTTTTCTCCATTGATGGCACTTTGGAAAACTAAAGTACACTATTACAACCAGGATGCTGGCATTGATACCGTGGTATAAGAAATACATATTCGATCTTTGTCCGTAGTTCCTGGCAAGAGTTCCCAAAACCCTTGGAATATTCTCAGTGATAGAAGTATCTTTTGTTATTCATTAAGTCCCTTAATGAGGTGACTATTGGTGGATCCCTAGATACTTCAGAAACAGAGAAATCAACGATGTGATTAGAGAGGGTTAGAAATTTCAACCCTATGTTCTGACTTCTAGGAAGGGGAGAGGGACTGAAGACTGAGCTCTAACACTGAAGGCCAATAATTTAACCAACCATGCCTATGTAACAGATCCTCCATAGAAACCCCTAAGCAATAGAGTTTAGAGAGTACCCCAACTCCATGGGGACAAAGGCTTTGTACTTGGAACCCTTTGGGTCTCATCCTGTGTATCTCATCTGACTGTTCATTTTTATCCATTAAAATAAACTAATAGTAACTATGGCATTTTTCTGAGTTCTATAAGTCATTCTAGCAAATTATCAACCTGGGGTGGGGTGGGGGAATGTGGGAATCCCAAAAATTGCAGCCAAGTGAGACAAAAGTGTAGGTAATCTGAGGATTCAATATGGGGATTGACATCTGAAGTGAGGGCAGTCATATGGGACTGAGCCCTTAAGTATGTGGAATATGACACTAACTCCCAGGTAGTCAGTGTCAGAATTGAACTGAATTGTTGGACATTCAGTTGATGTTAGAACTGGAGAATTGGTTAGTGCAGGAAAAAACATCTCAGATAAAATCCATTCAATCTTGTTCGGATTTCCCCAGTTTTACCTGTACTCATTTGGGTTTGTGCATATATGTATATGCATTTAGTTCCACATAATTTTACCACATGTGTAAATTCATGTATACACTGCCACAATTAAGATACAGAATAGGTCCCTCACCACAAGGAGCCTTCATATTGCCACTTTCTTCCCGTCTTAATCCTTGTCAACCATTAAATAATTTGTTCTCCATTTAGATAATTTTGTCATTTCAAGTATGTTACATAAAAATCTTTGTAAATCATATATTTGATATGGGACTATTATCCAGAATATATGAGAAACACTTGCCTAACTCAATAATAAAAACAAAAGTAACCCAATTTTTAAAAGGGAAAATGCAGACATTGTGGCTCACACCTTTAATCCCAGCACTTTGGGAGGCCAAGGAGGGCAGATCACTGGAGGACAGGATATTGGAACCAGTCTGGACAACAAAGTGAAACCCGGTCTCTACTAAAAATAAAAAAAATTAGCCAGACATGGTAGTGCATGCCTATAATCCCAGCTGCTCAGGAAGCTGAGGCATGAGAATCTCTTGAACCTGGGAGACAGAGGTTGCAGTGAGCCAAGACTGCACCATTGCACTCCAGCCTGGGCAACAGAGTGAGACTCTTGTCTCAAAAAAAGAAAAGGATTTTTTATTAGTCTGTTCTTACACTGCTAATAAAGGCATACAAAACTGGATAATTTATAAAGAAAAGACATGTAACTGACTCACAGGTCAGCATGGCTGGCGAAGCCTCAAGAAATTTAACAGGCAAGAGATCCAAGATGGCTGATCACTAGCAGCTCAGGATTGTAGCTCCCAGTGAAAACGCAGAGAACGAGAGGATGCCACACTTTCAGACGAATTTTTGTTGCTCACACACCAGGAGATTCCCAGCAGAGGAGCCCCATGGGTCGCCAGCGCGACTCTTGTGGCCAGTGAGGTGGTTTTGCCGCTGCCTTGGTGCAGCGGTTCTTGGTGTAGAGTCAGAAAAGCACAATCAATCTTAACGCCGCTGTTTTGGCCAGCACAGTGGGTTGCTCAGATTTTAGCGCTGGGAATCAACAAGTTGGACGTCCACTCAGAAACCCAATTATAAAGACGGTAATTATAAAGACCACAGATGGATAAATCTATAATGAAGGGAAGAAACCAGCCTAAAAAGGCTGAGGATACCCCAAATCAAAATGCCTCTCCCTCTACAGGGGGTCACAGTTCCTCAACAGCAACGGAACAAGGCCTGATGGAGAACGAGTGTGATCCATTAACAGAAACAGGCTTCAAAAGGTGGATGAGAAAAAACTTCAGTGAATTAAAAGATCTTCTTCTAACCCAATGCAAAGAAACTAAGAACTTTGAAAAAAGGTTTGACAAAACGTTAACAAGAATACACAATTTAGAGAGGGATATAAGTGAATTAACGGAGCTGAAAAACACAACGTGAGAACTTCGCGAAGTATGCACAAGTTTTAACAGCCAAATTGATCAAACAGAAGAAAAGATATCAGAGGTCGAAGACCAACTTAATGAAATAAAACAAGAAGACAAGATTAGAGAAAAAAGGATAAAAAGAAACAAGCAAAGTGTCCAAGAAATATAGGACTACAGCTAGTGCTCGACTTACGACCACGGTCGGGACCATGGACCGGTCCTAACACGATTTGATCGTAAGTTGAGTAGGCTATATGTACAGTTGAAATGGTGCACACGGAGATGGTAGTGCTGCCGGAAGCTGGTCCGCACTGTCGTATGCCCAGCTGGGCAACGTTTTGTGCTACCAGATGTGGAGCAGTCGTGGCTAGCGATTGTGGTCGTAAAGTTGAATGGTCTTAAGTTGCATAGGTGGTAAGTCGATCAATACCTGTATGTGAAAAGACCTAATCTACGTTTGATAGGTGTACCCAAATCTGACAAAGAGAATCAATCCAAGCTGGAAAATACGCTTCAGGATATTATTCAGGAAAACTTTCCCAAGCTGGCAAGGCAGGACAATATTCAACTCCAGGTAATACACAGAACACCACAAAGATGTTCCTCAAGAAGACCAACCTCAAGACACATAATCGCCAGATTCACCAGTGTTGAAACGAAGGAGAAAATACTGATGGCAACCAGAGAGAAAGGTCAGGTTACCCATAAAGGGAAGCCTATCAGACTCACAGCAGATCTCTCAGCAGAAACCCTACAAGCCAGAAGAGAGTGGGGGCTAATATTCAACATCCTTAAAGAAAAGAACTTTCAACCCAGACTTTTACATCCAGCCAAACTAAGCTTCATAAGCGAAGGAAAAATAAAATCTTTTGTGAACAAGCAAGCACTCAAGAGATTTCATCACCACCAGGCCTGCTTTACAAGAGCTTCCGAAAGAACCACTACACATAGAAAGGAACAACCAGTATCAGCCTTTCTAAAAAATACCAAAAAATAAAGAGAAACAACATAATCAAGAATTTACATCAACTAATGGGCAAAACAGCCAGCTAACATTAAATGGCAGTATTAAACTCACATATATTATTATTAATTCTAAATTTAAATCAACTAAATTCCCCAATCCAAAGACACAGACAGGCAAAAAAAGCCAAAACCCATTGATATGCTGCATCCAGACCCATCTCACGTGCAAGGATACATAAAGACTCAACATAAAGGGATGGAGAAAGATTTACCAACTAAATGGAGAGCAAAAATAAATAAATAAAAAGCAGGAGTTGCAATTTTTGCCTCTGATAAAATAGACTTCTAAGCAACGAAGGATAGATCATAAGAAGCAAAGAAGGATATTACATAATGATAAAAGGATCAATGCAACAAGAACGGCTAAAGATCCTAAATATATACGCACCCAATACAGGAATACCCAGATATACAATACTTATAAGGAGACTTAGACTCCCACCCAATAATAGTGGGAGACTTCAACATCAATATTAGACAGATCAATGAGACAGAAAATTAACAACGATATCCAGGATTTGAACTCAGATCTGGAACAAGTAAACTTAATTAACATTTATAGAACTCTCCACTTTAAATACACAAAATATACACTCTTATCAGTACCACATCACACCTATTTACAGGTTTCAATGAAATATTGGTTGGCTGCTTGTTTGTTATTTTCTACCCTCATTTTTTTTTTCATGTCTCTATTATTAAGCACAATTATAGGCATACCCACTTTTAGACTGCACTCTAGCCCGGGCAATAAAGCAACACCCCTGTTCTCTCTCCCTCTTCCTCTTTCTTCCTATCCTTCATTTTTTTTTTAAATTCTATTTTTTTTTCTTTCTCTTTTTTTTTTTTTCTGAAAAAAAAAAAAAAAAAGAAATTTAACGATCATGGGGGAAAGGGGAAGCAAACATGTCCTTTTTCATAGGGCAGCAGGAAGGAGAATGAGTGCCCAGCAAATGATGGTTTAATAAAAAATATAAAGCCACCATATCTTGTGAGAACTAACTCATTCTCATGAGAACAGAATAGGGGAAACCACCATCATGATTCAATTATCCCTACCTGGTCCCTTCCACAACACGTGGGGATTATGGGAGCTACAATTCAAGACAAGACTTGGGTGGGGACACAGCCAAACCATATCAGATTTGAATAGACATTCCTCCCCAAAAAATATACAAATGGCCAAACATGAAAAGAGGCTTAACATCATCAGCCATTAGGGAAATTAAAACCACAATGAGATGTCCCAGCACATCCATTAGGATGGTCATACCCAAAAAGATAATAACAAGTGTTAACAAAGATGTAAAGAAAGTAGAGCCCTCATACATTGCTGGTGGGACTGTAAAATGGTATGGTCACTTTGGAAAAACAGTTTGGCAGTTCCTCAAAAAGTTGAACAAAGAGTTACCATATGACCTACTAATTCTACTCCTAGGTATATACCCGATGAAAGCAAATATCCACACAAAAATTTGTACACAAATATTTATAGCAACATTATTCATAATACTAAAGAAGTGGAAACAATCCAAATATCCATCAAATGATGGAATTGCAATAAATTAATTTGGAATGGCAATAAAAGAATGAAGTATATATTACAAAACAGATGAATCTTGAAAATGTGGTTAAGTAAAAGAATCAGTCACAAAAAACTACATACTGCATTATTCCATTTATAAGAAATGTACAAAATAAGCAAATATACAGAGACAAAGTAGAAAAATGATTGCCTAAATCTGAGGACATAGAGAGAATATGGAGTGATGGCTAATGGGTACAGGGTTTCTTTTGGGGTGACAACAGTGTTCTCAAAGTAGATTGTGGTGATGGTCGCAAACTCTGAATATACCAAAAAAACCGCTGAAGTGCACACTTTAAGCAGGTGAAATATGTGGTATGTGAATCATATCTCAAGTTAAAACATAAGAATGTTATATAAATGGAATCGTAAAGTGTATAACCTTTTGAGATTAGCTTTTATCACTCAGCATAATTTCTGGATATTAATCCGGGATGTTGCATGTATCAATATTTTATTCTCATTCCTTCGTATTGTTGAGTAATATCCCATTATATGAATCTACCAGTCTAAGTTACTTTTTAATTATACTGAGTATCTTTTATTATAGTACCAAGTAATATTTTTTCTCCTCTGAGTTGTCTTTTCATATCCTTGGCACCTTTTCCTAATACCCACTCTTTATCATATGTACTACAAATTCTTTTTCCCAACTTAACTCTGCTTACAATGATTTTTGCAATTAAGTTTTTCATTTTTATGTAACAAAATATTCTTCTATGTTTTCTTCTAGTACTCTTATGGTTACTTTTTGTACATTAAAATCTTTAATTAAGCTTTAACTTATTTTAGCATAAGAAGTTAGCAAGTTGAGCTGGGCATGGTGGTTCACACCTGTATTCCCAGAACTTTGGGAGGCCAAGGTGGGTGGATCACGAGGCCGAGTTTGAGACCAGCCTGGCCAATATGGTGAAACCCTGTCTTTATTAAAAATACAAAAAAATTAGACAGGCATAGTGGTGTGTGCTTGTAGTTCCAGCTACTCGGAGGCTGAGGCAGAAGAGTCGCTTCAACCTGAGAAGCGAAGGTGCAGTGAGCCAAGATCGTGCCCCTGCACTCCAGCCTGGGCAATAGAGCTAAACTCCATCTCAAAAAAAAAAAAAAAAAAAAAAAAAAAAAAAAAAAGGAAGTAGTTTTGCTCCACCAGCGTGATATAGTAGCAAGATCCAGGGGCTAGAATCAGAAGGACTGGGTTCTAGTCTTGGCTATACCATTACCTAGCCAAATCACTCTGGGCAGACAACCAGTCTGTGGAACCTGCCTTTTCTGCTTAACATAGTTTTGGGAAATAAATAAGATTATAGGCTTACAATGAGATTCTCAAAAAGTGTTCAATAGATGCCTATTTATGAAGAAAACTTAAAACATTACATATATAATATATATTTGTATCACTTACAATACTATTCCCATTTCATGCACCATCTACTTGAAAATTCAGTGTCAGCCTCAGACAGAGGTAGCTTGCCCTCCTGCAAATTCCGTATCTAAAGAAGTCAAGTGATTTGCCTAGGGTCACAAGTGAAGTCTAGAAAGAAGCTGGTTTCAGAAGTAAACCCAATTAGCTACACCCCAGTCTTCCCCCTGAGTCAGAGACCACCATTCTTGTGCCCGCTAAAAATGAACTGTCATCTTGTGCTCATATCTATACATTAAAAAGAAATGAACAACAAACTGTCTGAAAAATGTAAAGCCTATAATTAGGAGGTGGTAGGGTGATAGCAGAGAGTAGAATCAGAGGGCTGAATTTCAAGCTATAGGCTCCTACCTTGCTTCCGACAGCCTGGGATTTTGATAAAGGCTCCATAGTCAGTCACCATAGCAACCTAGAAAGATGGGGGGAAAATCAATGTCACATAAATGAGAATCTTTCCTCTGTAGCATTTAACCTAGTCTCCCCAAATTTGTACTTCATATTGACTGCCTCTGTATGCTACGAAACTACCTAAAAATGATGCTCCGTCAAACATTCTTTCTGGGTTTTTTTGAAATGTAGACTGACAGGTATGTGTGTACACATTAAAAACACTGGTGAGATTAGAGTGTTGTCACACGGTGTGATGATACTGAGGAATATCCAAATCCTATACCTGGTAAAATCACCAAAGGAGTTTCATGAACAAAGGGAACATACTGATATTACCAAAGGAGTTTCATGAACAAAAGGAACAAAAAGCAAAAAATCAGGTAATGAAGTTATACTTTATATTAGCTAGGACTGAGGCCTCCAATTCCAATACAGAGAACTATAATAATTTGAGATGGATCATGCAGGGTATTCCTTATACCTAAACTTCAAGTCAATCCAGAGCATACAGTCTGTTATACTTAACTCCAAGTCTGAGTCTTGGGTTTCACCAAAACAACTAGATAAAAAGCCAATACAAAGATATCTGACAGAACTTGAAAATCAGAAAGAGTCTTTTGCAAAGTTGTCTAAGATGAAGAAGTTAGAGGCTCAATGGGTCTATGTAACAGGTAACCAATACTGGCATTCATGAAGGGTTAAAAAAAAAAAAAAAAAAAAAAAGGCAACCAATAAATGTTAGTGATGAAATGCCCAGAACCCTTGCCAGATAAATCATTAACCCAGGCTCTAGCTCTCTCTTCCCCCTGTAGCCTATCCCACTGCCCACCTATAGACTGAGGGTAATGTTGTCACTATATATGGAATTTAACACTAAATTATTATTTGTAAAATATTCAATATAATCTTATATATATAAACTTTATTCTTTTCAGTGCCTTTAATTAGCTGCTTTATCTTGAGCACTGTTTCAGCTTCACCATAACTAAAACAAGGGAGTAAATAAAACAATCCCAACTGTACTGCTATTTACTAATATATATTAAATACTCACTACATGCAAAATACTATTCAAAATGCTTTGCATAATCCTCATGCCACTGTATGGGATTGGTACTATTATTCCCTTTCAATAGACGACAAAAAGATGCATGAAGAGATTAAGCAACTTATCGGAAGTCCAAAGCTCAATAAGTAGCAGAGCTGGGATTTGGATCCAGAGTCTTAATTACACTAGAGCTGCTCATGAGTTCCCTTTAACTATAAAATTCTAATGGCCAAAAGCAATGTGGTATCTGATATCCTATCTGTTCCTAGCAACAATCCTAGAAATCATATACAGTAGGTCCCTATGCTGCAAATGAAGCGGAATAGTATAGGTGTATCTGGGTGCTGTGCCACAAGCCTGTAGTCCCAGCTACTCCAGAGGCTGAAGCTGGAGGATGGTTTGACCCTAGGAGTCGAGTCCAGCCTGGATAACATAGCAAGACCCCAGCCCTAAAAAAGCTTTTAGAAAATAAAAGAAAAAATAACAGTATAGGTATATAAAGTACACAGGCTTTAGAGTGAAAGATGTGGCTTCTAATCCTAGTTCTGCCATTTCCTACCTGTTGGATCTTGCACACAATTTGCCTTTCAAGGCCTAAGTTCCCATTTGCTCTCACTTTGCTGCTGCAGGTAACACATGATGTACATAAAGTACATGACATACATAAATGACACATAATGGACATTCAACAAAGTGTAGCTTTTCAATAATTTACAGTCTAAGACACTGAAGCACAAAGAGATTAGTGACTGGTAGGAAGGCACACTACTACTTAAGAGTTAGGGAGGCTGGGCACAGTGGCTCATTCCTGTAATCCTAGCACTTTGGGAGGTCGAGGTGGGTGGATCACCTGAGGTCAGGAGTTTGAGACCAGCCTGGCCAACATGGTGAAACACCATCTCTACAAAAAACACAAAAATGAGCTGGGCATGGTGGTGCATGCCTGCTATTTGGGTAGCTGAGGCACGAGAATCGTTTGAACCCAGGACACGGCGGTTGCAATGAGCTGAGATCCTGCCACTGCGCTCCAGCCTGGGTGAGAGCAAGACTCTGTCAATAAATAAATAAATCTGGAAGTTAGGGCCCAAATCACCTTGCTGCTGTAAATTAAGATAATCTCACTTTTCAATCCTGAAGCTCCAGTGTCACATTATGGTTTTTAGAGGTAATATAACAGATCTTAATTTGGCCTCTCCCAAAAGGAAAGGTTAATATATTCCAGAATGGATGCATGCAACTGTTCAGGCATTGTTTCCCATTTCTAGCACCAGGTGTTTTCATCACTGTGTCTCTCAGGGTACAGTCACACCTGCCACAGATGATCACGCAGGCTGCCTGGTGTCCCAAAGATAACTAGTCAAATAGCTCAGGGGAAAAAATTCAGTAACTATCTCGACTGAACTCGTAACAGCTTGGGTAAAATAAATTTCCCATTTTCAGATTATGGGTGGCAACTGGCCTTGAAACTTGTTATCACCATAATGTAAATGACGAATTTGAGGCTCAGAGGCAGAAGATACTTGTCAAAAGTCACAGAGTTAGATAGTAGCACAGCCAAGTACAACACAGACTTTTTTTTTTTTTTTTTTTTACTTCGCATCCAAACGCTATTTCTACCTTACCAAAATGAATCACCCCTCAGCATTTCTTTGGCTATTGCAAGCCTAAGCCAAATCCCAAGTCTCATTGCTATGCTTGTACCCCCTATCATGTATTAATATAATGCACTCTGCTATCAACATCCTTCTGAGAAGATGAGAGGATGAATATTAGCTTCTCAGCTATTTAATTACTGGGTCCCAAATCCCTGCTGAGTCCACCAAGAGAAGTGCTGGGACATGGGCTGAAACACCACCTTCTTCAAGGACAACTAGTCCTATGAGGCTTGGGCTCCATTTTATTCCCACATTTACTAAGCACCTACCTACTATGTGCAAGATACCACGTCAGATACTGTGAAATAAAGACAGCTTTAAAAAAGGGATGCCCAGGTTATTTTAAATAAATTTGAAGTAGTTACCAAGACACATGAGACAATCATGGCCTCTGCTCTACAGTAACTCACAATCTAGTAGTGGAGTGAGACACATACAAGTAATAATAAGACAGACCAGGATAAATTCTGTAATAGAGTTGTATCAACAAATGACCACAGAACCACCAGATTTACCATCTATATTTCTCCTATAACTCAATTCAGTCAAAAGGGTTCTCTTGGCAGGGTGTGGTGGCTCATACCTATAATCCCAGCACTTTGGGAAGCTGAGGCAGATGGATCACTTGAGGTCAGGAGTTTGAGACCAGCCTGGCCAAAATGGTGAAACCCCATCTCTACTAAAAATACTTAACTTCTGAAAAGAGTCTCCTTATCTATCAAATAGGGTTAACAATTTCTTTGGAGAGATTCAATAACAGAATGTGTGGAAGTACTAACATAGATTAGGCTTACAAATTTTTTTTTAGTTTTAATGTAATCCCTCATCTTTATAAATATTGAGTACTCATTAAAAGTTCATTCGATGAATGTTCTAAAAAGTTTCTTCTTTCCAATTTATATTTCTCTTTCCCTAACTCCATGTCACTTCTAAACCATCCCTTTTCAAATTGTGCTACTGAAATAGTAATTTAGAACCATAAAGTTCTCTCTGAAAATTCCTAAAGACCACCCTTCCTTAATAGTAATATACAAAACCTACACTAATTCAAGCTCCATCTCATATAAGAGAAAGCTGTAGGTTAGGATCCACTTTAGAAATCTGAGTCATTCTGTGGAGAACAGAGTGTTCTTCCCTTTCTTTGGTACAGCACCTGATGAGTGAGGGCTCCATGATCAGAAAAATCAGTTTCACCTCCAGTGCTACACTTCCTTCTTCTGAGCTCTAGTACCTTACTAACCTTTGGGAATACCGTGAACCATAAAGAAAAACGATAGAGGCTTTGAAGAGCAGAGCTGTTTGTTATTTGTTAAAATGCTATTATCCTTTGTATCTTGACTGTTATATTACAAGTTGAGATCAATGGAATTCAAGAACCACAATTATCTATAACTGACTGATAGTCACAGTCTGTCCTCAAAGACCTCACATTATTGGGAGGTAAAACTTTTGTCAGCCATAAAAAGCAAGCATGAATGCAAAGTATGAATATCAAGTCTGAATGATAACATTAAAATACTACAGGCTCAGGCTGGGTATGGTGGCTCATGCCTGATCTCAGCATTTTGAGAGGCTAAGGAGGGCAGATCACGAGCTCAGGAGTTCAAGACCAGCCTCAGCAACACAGTGAGACTTTGTCTCTACAGAAAAATTAGCCAGATGTGGTGGTGTGTGCCTGTAGTCCCAGCTACCTGGGAGGCTGAGTGAGAGGATCACTTAAAACCCAAGAGGTGGAGGTTGCAGTGAGCCAAGATCACACTATTGCTGTCCAGCCTGGGCAACAAAGTCAGACCTTGTCTTTAAAAAAAAAAAAAAAGGCCCGGTACAGTGGCTCACACCTGTAATCCCAGCACTTTGGAAGGCTAAGGTGGATGGATCACCTGAGTTCAGGAGTTTGAGGCTACCCTGGCCAACACGGTGAAACACTGTCTCTACTAAAAATACAAAAATTAATTGGGTGTGGTGGCAGGTGCCTGTAATCCTAGCTACTTAGAAGGCTGAGGCAGGAGAATCACTTCAACCTGGGAGGCAGAGAGACTGCAGTGAGCCGAGATCACGCCATTGCACTCCAGCCTGGGCGACGAGAGCAAAACTCCAATTCAAAAAAAAAAAGAAAAAGAAAAGAAACGTGTTCTCATAAGACACTGAGAACAATTTTTTGGCTTTAGTTTCACTTAAAGAGGAAGGAGCCAATGTTAATTAATTCCTACTATGTGTCAGGCATCGTATTTTTATAGATGATAGCATATTTAACCATCACAGTAATTCTATGAAAGAGAATTACTGTGAATAAATGGAATTTCGAAAAACTAAGGCTCAAAGAGATTAAGTGACAGCCTAAAGGCTCATATAGTAAGTAAAAGAGCCGAGACTAGAAACCTGACTTTGTCTGGTTCCAAAGCCTCTGCTCTTGAAACAAATATAATGTCTTCTCTGCCAAACGTTGATAATTCATTCTGTCATCAAAAATGTATCAAGCACTTACTATTTTCTACCCATCTACCTAAGACTGAGATATACAACAAAACAGACAGAACTGTGCCCTCATGGAGCTTAGTGTCTTGTGAGGAAGATAGACATTAAACAAGTAAACAATTAAACACAGCACAAACCTATAAGATGGGTAAAAAAATCTCTGAGGAGACAACATTAAGGCTGAGACCTAAAGGATGAAGACAAGATGATGGGAAAGTGGGTAGTTAAAAGGAAGAGTGACTTAGTCTGTTTGCGCTGCTATAACAAAATACCATAGAAATTTATGTTTCACAGTTCTGGAGGCTGGGAAGTTCAAGATCAAGGCGCCAGCAGATTCTGTGTCTTATAAGGGCTCACTCTCTGCTTCCAAGATAGTGCCTTGTTCTTGTGTCCTTTGGAGGTGACAAATGCTGTGTCTTCACATGGCAGAAGGAACGGAGAGGTCAGGCAGCTCTCTGTAGCCTCTTTTATAAGGGCATTGATCACATTTACAAGGGCAGAGCACCTTCATGACTTAATCACTTCCCAAGTGATTAATATCTTTTAATACCACTTCTTAATATCCGCACATTGGGGATTAAAGTTCAACATGAACTTTGGTATCTCTTTAACATTCACTTTGAAGCCTAATCCGCGATTCAATATCATCAAGAGATGAGGCTTTTAGGCTCTGCCCTCATGAATGGATGAGTGCCTCATAAAAGGGCTCGAAAGGGTGAGTTCACTCCTTCTGTTCCTTCTGTCATGAGGACACAGCATTTCTTCCCTCCAGAGGATGCAGCAGAAAGGTGCCATCTTGGAAACAGAGAGTAGTCTTCACCAGACACCAGATCTGCTGACAACCTGATTTTAGATTTCCCAGCCTCCAGAGCTGTAAGAAATAAATTTCTGTTCTTTATAAATTACCCAATCTCAGGTATTTTGTTATAGCAGCACAGACGGACTAAAAAAACCCAGCATGTACAAAAATCCTAAAGAGACACCAAGAACTCAAGACTGTTCAGAGCTCTTAAGGAGGCCAGTTGTCTTGACTACGAACAGGGCAGAACAAACAACATTGTGAGAGCAAGCAGAGGCCAACTTGTGGAAGGTCCATGAAAATGAGTTTGTATTCAATTGTAATGAGAAGCTTCTGATGAGTTGTGAGAAAGCAACATGTCCAACCTACTTTAAAAATTTTATTTTAGGCCAGGCACAGTGACTAATGCCTGTTAACTCCAAGACTTTGGGAGGCTGAAGTGGAAGTATCACTTAAGCCCAGAAGTTTGAGACCAGCCTGGGCAATATAGTGAGATCCCATCTCAATTTTTTATAAATAATTTTTTAAAAAACAATAGTCTTATGCTAGTTGCAATGTGAAGAACAGACTGGAGAGGAGCTACAATGAGGCAGGGATCCCAGTAAACACCAGGCAAGAATGAAGAGTTTTATTTTTTTTTATTTATTTATTTATTTATTTTTTTGAGACGGAGTTTTGCTCTTGTTACCCAGGCTGGAGTGCAATGGCGCGATCTCGGCTCACCGCAACCTCCGCCTCCTGGGTTCAGGCAATTCTCCTGCCTCAGCCTCCTGAGTCGCTGGGATTACAGGCACGCGCCACCATGCCCAGCTAATTTTTTGTATTTTTAGTAGAGACGGGGTTTCACCATGTTGACCAGGATAGTATCGATCTCTTGACCTCGTGATCCACCCGCCTCTGCCACCCAAAGTGCTGGGATTACAGGCGTGAGCCACCGCGCCCGGCCGGAATGAAGAGTTTTAATAGGGTGCCAGGGGGATAAAGAAGTACGCAGACCAGGGATATAATTAGAACTAGCAAACAGACTGGAGTGGGAGGGAAAATCTAAATCAAATCAAAAGAGAAATCAAGGATGATGGTCAGATGTGTAGTCTGGGAACCTGCAGGATAATGGTTCTATTTGTTGAGGTGAAAAAAATCTAGAAGAGAATCAAATCAGTTGAATGTCTCCATATGTTTTGTGTTATTATAACAGAATACCAGAGACTGGATAATTTATAAAGAAATGAAATTTATTTGGCTTATAGTTCTGGGGGCTGAGAAGTCCAAGAGCAAGGTGCCAGCATCTGGCAAGAATCTCCTTGTTATGTCATCCCATGGTGGAAGGTAAGAGGGTAAGAAGGAGAGAAAGGGATCAAACTCACAGCCTCAAGCCCTTCAATAATTGGCATTAATCCATTCAGGAGGTCGGAGCCCTCATGACCTAAATACCTCCTACTAGGCCCTACCTCCCAACATTGATACAGTGGGGATTAAGTTTCCAAAACATGCTTTTTAGGGGACATGTTCAAACCACAGCAGTGAAAAAACAAATTCAGTTTAAAACATAAATTAGAAATGCTGATATTCCAATGATGATGTCAACTATGCACTTAAATATCTGGAGCTTAGAGAAAGCACATGTGATTGCCAGATATTCCACTGGCCCTTCCCATTTAAGCTGTAATGCTCGAGACAGACTTAAGTGGACAGGAACATGAAACCCAGTTGTCACCCTCAGTCTATTCTTAACATAAATGGTAGGCTTTCAAAGCACAAAAGAATATACCTCTCCTTGGAAAATAGTGTAGAGAGCAGGCAAGTTTTCCATGGTCTCGGGCCTTCCTGAATTCATCTTTAATATTCTATGGCTCCTCCATTTCTGTTCTATTAAAGCTAATAAAAGTGTCCTGTCATAAAGAAATTAGACACCAATTAGAGAGATACCTGTGTTAAACAATGAATAGGCAGACAATTCACAGCTATTTCTATAGAATACCACTAGATTTAACATCTTACGCTTTTATCCAAATATCTTGTTTATTCTAATTGTGGGGAGTTTGGGAAATCTTGAACCAATTTCTTAACAATCTGTTACTTACCCAAGGCCATTAGACTACTAAATTTGTTGTGTTTGATTTTTGGTTTTTTAAATTGCTTTTTTTTGGCCAGGGGAAGAATTTTGGTGGGGGGGGGGTGGGAAAAGAGGGTATGTTTGACTAGATCTCAAAAAAATGGAATAACAGTAATAAAAACTAACATTAATGGAGTACGTACTATGTCCAGGCACTGTGCTAAACACTAGACATGCAATCTCATTTAATTCTCAAAACTCAGGCCAGGTACAGTGGCTCACGCTTGTAATCCCAGCACTGTGGGAGGCTGTGGTGGGCAGATCACCTGAAGTCAGGAGTTCCAGACCAACCTAGCCAACACTGCAAAGCCCCATCTCTATGAAAAATACAAAAATTAGCCAGGCGTGGTGGCAGGCATCTGTAGTCCCAGCTACTAGGAAAGCAGAGGCAGAAGAATCGCTTGAACCTGGGAGGCAGAGGTTGCTTTGAGTTGAGATCACACCACCATACCCCAGCCTGGGGAACAGAGCAAACTCCACCTCAAAAACAAAACAAAACAAAACAAAACAAATTCTTAAAACTCTTAAAATGTGGGATTATACAGATGAGAAAACAAAGGCTTCCAGAAGTCAAATCACTAAGCATGTCAAAAAGCCAGGAAATGGGGAGTCAAGCTGGCTGACTCCAGAGTCCATTCTCTTTATTTATTTTTTGTTTTTTATTTTTTTGTTTGTTTCAGAGTCCATTCTCATGACTACTATGCTAGGTGTTATATCTGAAGTGACCGCCGGGCATCGTGGCTCATGCCTGTAATCCCAGCACTTTGGGAGGCTGAGGTGGGTGGACCACGAGGTCAAGAGATCGAGACCATCCTGGCCAACATGGTGAAACCCCATCTCTACTAAAAAACGCTGGGCATGGTGGCATGCGCCTGTAGTCCCAGCTACTCAGGAGGCAGAGGCAGAAGAATTGCTTGAACCCAGAAGGCAGAGGTTGCAGCGAGCCAAGATGGCGACACTGCACTCCAGCCTGGCGCCTGGCGACAGAATGAGACTCTGTCTCAAAAAAAAAAAAAAATCTGAAGTGACTTCAAAGAGACAAGGGCGTACATTTTTTTCTTAATAACATTAAAACACACATACATACTGTAAAAGTTCAGATAATATATTAATAATGAAGAAAATAAAATCATCGAATTCAATTTGATTTATATTCGAGAATTGCTTGAACCCAGGAGACGGAGTTTCGCTGTTGTTGCCCAGACTGGAGTGCAATGGCACGATCTCGGCTCACTGCAACCTCCGCCTCCTGGGTTCAAGCAATTCTCCTGCCTCAGCCTCCCGAGTAGCTGGGACTACAGGCACGCACCATCATGCCCCGCTAATTTTTGTATTTTTAGTAGAGACGGGGTTTCACCTTGTTGACCAGGATGGTCTCGATCTCTTGACCTCGTGATCCACCCGCCTCGGCCTCCCAAAGTGCTGGGATTACAGGTGTGAGCCACCGCGCCCAGCGTGACTTATATTCTTACAGATTTTTTTTATATGTAGAAGTGGTTTGTTAATGGGATCATGAAATCATTAACATTTTCTTAATATATCATAGCAATTCATATGCATATACAACTTTTTTTTAACACCTATCTAATAAACCATTGTTGGATGTACCAAATTCATTTAACTATTTCCAAATTATGTGAAAATGCAGATTGCAATTCAGTTGGTCTATGCTACCTGAGATAATGCATTTTCAACCACCTCCTAGGTGATGCTGCCTAAGTAGCAAAACTTACAGCTTCGGATACTTACCTTAGAGATAATCTTGCTCAGCCTCCTGATTTTAAACAGAGAGGAAACCAGCAATCTAGTGGCTCTTAAACATGCCTCTTCATTCTGTTGGATAAATCACTGCCAAGATAAATCTAATGGCACTATCCTCAGTTCTCTTTCCTCCCAATTACACTTGACACCAGTAAGACCTGAAATTATTTTTGTTTTCATAGGCAAGTATCTCCTTCTCTTCTCAACCCCCACTGCTTCCTTTCACTTTCAAAGGACGACTTGATGTCCTGCTTTTGGCAAGTATTCCTAATTTACAATGACCATCCATTAAGTAGACAGCTTCACTTGAAACAGAAATGAAAGAAAATCCTGTCTGGATGCCCAAACCCTTGTTCTAGTATCATCCCATAACTCAGGAGCATCCCTTTCCTCAAGTTCCAAAAGATAATCTTGTATTATAAGGATACTTATAAACTTGCCCTTTTGTGCTTAGGTCAGCCAAAGTGTCTTTTTATTACTTTACTAAAAGTACATAAAGCGAACACAGGGAGATTTGTCAGTTCTTGAGAAATCGCTCATAAACAGGTTAATTCCAAGTTTTACATCCTGGCTAAACCCTGCCTCTTCCATTTCATAGCAATACAGTCTCATCTCTAGCTGTCCCTTCCCTCTGTCTAGTATCCCTCACCTCACATGCTAGAACAGGAGTTTCTAATCGATCAGGTTCTATCATGAGACTTTCATTAACCCTCCAACACTTGCAACATATTAGTGAGGTAAAAAAATCCATAGGGGCAGCTGAAACATCTAAATTAACTTCAGCATTGTAATCTATCATCTGTTCCTCTACACACAAAGGTCATAGGCCAGGTGCGGTGGCTCACACCTGTAATCCTAGCACTTTGGGAGGCCAAGGTGGGCAGATAACCTAAGGTCAGGAATTCAAAACCAGCCTGGCCAACATGGTGAAACCTCATCTCCACTAAGAATACAAAAATTAGCCAGGTGAGGTGGTGGGTGCCTGTAAACCCTGCTACTTATGAGGCTGAGGCAGGAGAATCGCTTGAATCTGGAAGGCAGAGTTTGCAGTGGGCCAAGATCGGGCCACTGCAGTCCAGGCTGAGCAACAGAGTGAGACTCCGTCTCAGAAAAAAAGGTCATATAAGGAACTGACACTGTTCCTTACAGAGCTCTGCTGTGATAAGCATATAAAAGTTTAAAGCTTTTGGATTTGCACCTCCTGTAGAACAGTAGCCTAAGAAACCCCATGCAATTCTTCAAGAAGGAAACTGGGGCCAGGTTCAGTAGCTCACGACTGTAATCCCAGCACTCTGGGAGACTAAGGCAGGAGGACCACTTGAGGCCAGGAGTTCAAGACTAGCCTGGGCAACACAGCAAGACTTTATCTTCACTTAAAAAAAAAAATCAGCCAAGTGTGGTGACACCAGCCTATAGTTCCAGCTACTTGGGAGGCTGAAGCAAGAGGATTGCTTAAGCCAAGAACATCAAGGCGGCAATGAGCTATGATTATGCCCCCATACTCCAGCCTGGGCGACACAGTAAGACCTTGTCTCAAAAAAACAGGGATGCATTTTTGAGGGAAAGCCTGAAACATAACAGTGCAGTAGTCCCCTCCATCCACAGTTGCAACTACTCACAGTCCATCATGGTCCAAACACACCAGATGTAAAATTCTAGAAACAATTCATAAGTTTAAAACTGTAATGTTGTTTTTATTAGTGTGATGAAATCGTGTGCCATTCCACTCTGTTCCATCTGGGATGTGAATCATCTGCTTTGTCCGGCATATCCATGCTGTATACATTCGTCACTTAGTGTATACTAAGTGCTCATTAGCCATGTAGTAGCCATCTTGGTTATCAGACTGACTGTTGAAGTATCTCTGCTTACGTTCAAATAATCCTTTCTTTACTTAATAATGGCCACAAGGAGTAGTAATGCTGGCTGTTTCGGTATGCCAACGAGAAGCTATAAAGTGCTTCCTTTAAGTGAAAAGGTGAAAGTTCTCAACTTAAGGAGAAAAAGAAATTATATGCCTAGGTTGCTAAGATCTATACTAAGAATGAATCTTCAATGTCTGAAATTGTGAGGAAGAAAAAAATTAGTTTTGCCGTTGCACCTCAAACTGCTAATGTTATAACCACAGTGCATGATAAATGCTCAGTTAAGATGGAAAAGGGATTAAATTTGTAGGTAGAAAATAGAAACATCTTCCAATTGATAGAAACTGGGTTCAGCAGTAGCCACAGTTTTAGGGATCCACTGGGGATCTTGAAATGTATCCCCATGGACAAGGGGGTACAACTATAACAGATTTACAATTTCAGCAAAGTAAATGGTTGTCATTCTTTAAACATGGAATATAAAACTTTTTTTCAAAGTCTGTAAAAAACCTAGGGCTCTATTGTGGTTACTCAGAGGCTCCTTAGTTAATTCATATTTATTTTTAAAAAGTCAACTTCCAGGTCAGGCATAGTAGCTCATGCCTGTAATCCCAGCACTTTGGAAGGCTAAGGTGGAAGGAATGCTTGAGCCCAGAAGTTTTAGACCAGCCTGGGAAACACAGTGACATCCCACCTCCACAAAATATTTAAAAAGAAAAGAAAATTATGGCTGGGTGCAGTGGCTCATGCTTGTAATCTCAGCACTTTGGAAGGCCAAGGTGGGTGGAAGTGTTTGAGGTCAGGAGTTTGAGACCAGCCTGGACAACATGGTGAAACTGTATCTGTACTAAAAATACAAAAAATAAAATAAATTAGTTGGGCGTGGTGGCACATGCCTGTAGTCTCAGGTACTCAGGAGGCCGAGGCAGGAGGATCACTTCAGCCCAAGAGATGAAGGGTGCATTGAGCCTTGATCATACTACTGTACTCCAGCCTGGACAACAAAATGAGACCCTGTCTCAAAAACAAAAAAGTCAACTCTGAAATATCTAGGTCACCACAAGGTCCAAGACCCATGAGGCTACCTCTAAGTCAACCAACCAGAGGTGAGCCTCCATACCAAAGGCTGGAGGAGTAGAACCCCCAAAGAAGCTAGAGCTGGGGGAAGTCCCACTCAGAGCAGTTGGGTAGGAGCCTCTCCTCAGTAATTAGGCAAAGGACAATTATTACTGATTCATACTTAATCTCCTAGCCATATTATGGTGGGTCACAGTGACAAAGGGGAGTGGGTGAGAATTACTGGAAGGGTGCCTACTATAACAACGTATTCTGCTTTGATCCAGTTTACATACTAAAATTCTGTCTAAGATTTCACTTGGAAAAAAAGTGTTCTGCAACTTTTAAAGAGTATATAGGGCTGGGCGTGGCAGCTCATGCCTGTAATCCCAGTACTTTGGGAGGTCAAGACAGGTGGATCATTTGAGGTAATGACTTCAAGTCCAGCCTGACCAACATGGAGAAACCCCATCCATACTAAAAACAGAAAAAATTAGCTGGGTGTGGCGTATGCCTGTAATCCCAGCTACTTGGGAGGCTGAGGCAGAGAATTGCTTGAACCCGGGAGGTAGAGGTTGTAAGCCAAGAAAGCGCCATTACACTCCAGCCCGGGAAACAAAAGCAACACTCCATCTCAAAAAAAAAAAAAAAAAAAAAAAAGTATTTAAGGCCAGGCATGGTGGCTCAGGCCTGTAATCCCCACACTTTGGGAGGCCAAGGCAGGCGGATCACCTGAGGTCAGGAGTTCAAGACCAGCCTGGCCAACATGGCAAAACCCCATCTCTACTAAAAATACAAAAATTAGCCAGCTGTGGTAGCAGGCGCCTGTAATCCCAGCTACTCGGGAGGCTGAGGCAGGAGAATTGCTTGAACCAGGAGGCAGAGGTTGCAGTGAACAGGATTATGCCATTGAACTCCAGCCTGGGAGACAAGAGTGAAACTTAGTCTCAAAAATAAATAAATAAATAAATAAAAATAAAAATAAATAAAGAGTTGAGCCAGGCATGGTGGCTCACACCTGTAATACCAGCACTTTGGGAGGCCAAAGCGGGTGGATCACTTGAGCCCAGAAGTTTGAGAATAGCCTGGGAAACATGGTGAAACCCCGTCTCTACTAAAAATAAAAAAATTAGCTGGGCATTATGGTGAGCACCTGTAATCCCAGCTACTCAGGAGGCTGAGGCAGAAGAACTGCTTGAGCCCAGGAGATGGAGGTTGCAGTGAGCCAAGATTGCGCCACTGCACTCTACCCTGGGCAAGAGACTCTGTCTCAGAAAGAAAAATAAAAGAATATATAACATTAAGATAGATACAGTCAGACAGGACCACATTCATACACTTAAAAGATCCAGTAAATTGACAAGGATTGAGGTCCGCCATTTGGAGTTGCCTTGCAATACTTTTTTTTTTTTTTTTTTTTTTTGAGACGGAGTTTATGTTACCCAGGCTGGAGTGCAATGGCGCGATCTCGGCTCACCGCAACCTCCGCCTCCTGGGTTCAGGCAATTCTCCTGCCTCAGCCTCCTGAGTAGCTGGGATTACAGGCATGCACCACCATGCCCAGCTAATTTTTTGTATTTTTAGTAGAGACGGGGTTTCACCATGTTGACCAGGATGGTATCGATCTCTTGACCTCGTGATCCACCTACCTCGGCCTCCCAAAGTGCTGGGATTACAGGCTTGAGCCACCGCGCCTGGCCCTTGCAATACTTTTGAACGCAGAACAAAGCATTTTGCTCGAATGTTTTAAACAACTGTGTTATGTAAGGAAGCAACAGGGACCAATCACTAGCCACTCTCTTTCCAAAACAAGGGGCAGAGCAAGGAAAGTATGTGATGGAAGTAAAGGGTACAGCAGAAGAAATGGTGGCCCAGAGTGAGGTCAGAGTCTACGTTGGGTGAGGAAGGAATCTACAAAGAGGATTGCAATACTGGGAAGAGCAGAGTGATGGGGGCACGCATTGGAGCATCCCAGAATGGGTAGTCAGAGCTCCAGTATCAAAAGGTGGGGCCCAAGGATCAAAGAAGTAATGCAATGTTAGTCTCATAATTTTAGTAATTACACTGACTATAGAGGAGAATAAAAATAAAATTAAAATAAACGAGGAAAATGTCCTTGTTTGTAAGAAAACTAGTTTTCAGGGCTGTTGGGGCATTGGGTCAGCAATTTAACTCAAATAATTCAGAAAAATGTTATGTGTACATTGCACATGATTGTTTCAAAAAAATTTTTAAAGTACACATGCAACTAGGAAGAAAACCCTACACATCCTGTCCTCCCATCCCTCAAGCAATAAAAAGTTTAAAGAACAATATTAAATTGGCCAGACACTTTATAGCCTTTTTGGAACTTCATTTAATGTGTCACCTTACTGACCTTGTCAAGATTTTTGTTATTGTTTGGATTTAGATTTTTTTGTTACTTAGGAGTACTAATTGACACAAACCCTAAAGAATTTAAAGGAATTTTAATTTATCTTTAATCTGTGCTGGAATTGAGAGCAAAGCAAGCTAATTAAAAATAGTAGGATATGAACAGAGACAGAATAATGACTCCAGAGCCTGCCCTGTTTTTGTTTTTGGTTTCGAGGCAGGGTCTTGCTCTCTTGCCCAGGCCAAAGTGCAATGATCCAATCATGGCTCCCTGAAGCCTTGACCTCCTGGGCTCAAGAGATCCTCCCAGCTCAGCCTCCCAAATAGATGAGACAGAAACATACCAAAGAGCTTGGCTAATTTTTTCTTTTTTTTGGTAGAGACTGGGTCTCATTATGTTGCTCAATCTGGTCTTGAACTCATGGGCTCAAGAAATCCTCCTACCTTAGCCTCCCAAAGTCCTGATATTACAGGCATGAGCCACGGCACCCAGCCAAGAATTCTTGGCTGCATTCTTAAGCACTATACCTCAAAAAGAATTTACAATCTAGGCCAGGCGCGGTGGCTCACGCCTGTAATCCCAGCACTTTGGGAGGCCAAAGCGGGCAGATCACAAGGTCAAATGAACAAGGCCAACATGGTGAAACCCCATCTCTACCAAAAAAAAAAAAAAAAAAAAAAAAAAAATTAGCTGAGCATGGTGGCACATGCCTGTAGTCCCAGCTACTCGGGAGGCTGAGGTAGGGGAATTCCTTGAACCCAGGAGGCAGAGGCTGTAGTCAGCTGAGATTATGGCACTGCACTGCAGCCTAATGACAGAGCAAGACTCCATCTCAAAAAAAAGGGGGGATTCATAATCTAATATGGTTTGGCTCTGTGTCCTCACCCAATTTTTTTTTTTTTTTTTTTAAAGACAGGGTTTTATCATGTTGGTCAGGCTGGTCTTGAACTCCCGACCTCAGGTGATCCGATCCGCCCGCCTTGGCCTCCAAAATGCTTGGATTAGAGGCGTGAGCCACCATGCCCAAATTTTATCTTGAATTGTAATCCTCATGTATTGAGGGAAGACACCTGGTGGGAGGTAATTGGATCATGAAGGTTTCATCTTGAATTGTTAATCCTCACGTGTTGGGGGAGGGACTTGGTGGGAGGTGACTGGATCATGGTGGTTTCCCCCAGGCTGTTCTCATTATCGTGAGGGAGTTCTCACAAGATCTGACGGTTTAAATGTGGCAGTTTCCCTTGCTCCCTCTCTCTCCTGCCACCACACAAGACATGTCTTGCTTCCCCTTCACCTTCAGTCATGAATTGTAAGTTTCCTGAGGACTCCCCAGCCTTTCAGAACTGTGAGTCAATTGAACCTCTTTCCTTTATAATTATCCAGTCCAGGCAGTTCTTTATAGCAGTGTGAAAATGGACTAATACACAGTCTAAATCTAAATTTTGTAGCGTATCACTCTAACACTAACTGGGTTCCAACATTAGAGGAATCAATATGGAGTAATCTGAAGGACATCATTCATGGAAGAGGCTAGAATGAGCAAGGTCTGGATCCATTCATTCGAACATGAAACCAAGGACCATTTCTTATTCAATTTTGTGTTCCTGGTGCCCGGTATACTACAAGTGCTCAGTTTTTTTTGAATGAGTGAACTGAGTATTACTATATGTCAATGCCAAGCATGGGTAGAGAAAGAAGGGGGAATGCATTCTGGTCTAAAAGAGCCGAGTCCCATTTAATATGTTGGACAG